CATCATAGGAGCAGAGAGGCTGACGTTTCGGGCCTAGACCCTTCGAAACGTCAGCCTCTCTGCTCCTATGATGCTGCTTGGCCTGCTGTGTTCATCCAGCCCTGCACCTTGTTGTCTTGGATTCTCCAGCATCTGCAGTTCCTACTATCTCTAATTCACAAATCAGCCCTGGATTTCTAATTGCAGTCAGCCATCATTTTGAAGATGAACAGCCTGTGTTTCTGTCATGACTGATGAAAATACCTTACCAACATGTGCAATAGTTAGAAAGAGTGTGTTTACCTTGAGCGGAGGCGGCACCTGCGGCAGAAGTGCTGGTCTCAAGCGTTTCTTGCTTTGAGAGTGTTTTGATCCATCATCATCATCAACAATTTTACTCTCATCCTTCTCAGATGCAGCGTTTCCAGTGAACTAGAAATCAACAGGCAAACCTTCAGTGCCACAGTAATAGAAATAGATTGCTGAATCTGCTATAGAGACTAGATATATAACAAACAACACCCACCCCGCCCTACGAAGATCACTCCTTCAATGCTGTTTCTCACAACCTGACAGGGAGTCTTTATTCGTTCGCAAATGGGCAACACTGGCAAGGCTTGAATTTACTACCAATCACTATGTGCCCTTGGGAAGGTAGTGTTGAGCCACTTTCTTTAATATAATTGAGTGACTGGCTCAGTCATTTCAGAAGGTCATTCGGATCCAACCACATCATCTGAGTCTGAAGCCATGTATATGCCAGACTGGCTTTTGACAGCAGAGCCCCTTCCCTAAAGGACATTATAAACCGGATGAAATTTTTTATGTGATACAATAACAGAACAGAAGCCCAAAGTATTCACAGTCTTCTTATCATACTTTTAATCCAAAATACATTTTATTATAAAGGAACTGCTACAGAAACTTCAAATAGGAAGATACTTGACAAGAGATAATTAAGAGCGTGACTATTCACCTTCCACCATCACAGCAGACATGACAAACATGTCTGTTGCTCCTGTCAGTTTTATCCTCCAGGAAGATACAAAACAACCAGGATTAAAAGATGACTGCAACACTAATCTGTGTGTGTTATTGGCCAGATGTCCTAACGTGTGAACTAGTGTGCTATGAGGATCACACTTTAACAATAGCTATTTAAACACTCATGCACTGCAGGTCATTAACAGGAGTAGTGTCAGCCAGTTCAAGAGGAATGAGGACATAGGAATTTCAATCTATCTAGAAAACCATGAATTTCAATATCGAATGGTCAACACACGGGCAATCCAATAAAGGCAGTACATCTTCATAACCGCTCGTCATAAACTATTTAGGGAGTCATCCAATGTGCATTTTTAAAACTTTTATCTTTTTGTACTAACCTCTCATTTCTACTGTGTTACATTACTATTTCTTAAGTTTATATTCCTTTTTTTTTTGTTAATTCAAGAGGACTTGTTCAATTGGCTCCTTTAATATACAAGTTCATTTGGTCTGGGAGAAAGGCATCTACAGGGATGGGATTCTTTTTCAATTAATCTTGTTTTGATACACTGAGGGGTAGGTGAACAACTATGGGGAGCCAGTAGATCCCTCCTCAACAAGAAGTTTAACAATTTTGGGTATCCCATCTGGAAGTGGAACAAGTTGGGGAATGTCATTGGTTGTAACAAATGACAATCTGTTTGTTTCACAATCACCATTAATGGCAATTGGCTTTTATTCTGGATTTATTTTATCAATTCAATTTAAATTCGAAAGCTGTAGTGGTAGCTTTTGAACTCATATTTCCAAATCTGGATCACTAATCCAGTACCATTGCAAAGCTTTATTCTTGAGAATATGCAAACTGGACCTCAGTTGAATTATTTCACTTGCAAGATGGCACTGGCACAATGCAGGTCTCCCCCAGCCTACTCTGGGCACTGGAGTGGGGCTTTTCAGCTGTCAACCTTCACACCTACAATGACGAGTGGGGGGGAGTGGAAAATAAAGAGGGGTTTGGGAGGGAAGAGGGTGGGAGAGAGGAGACGGACAGATGGACAGAGATTGATAGAGAGCAAGAGGGCGAGCAAGAGAACGCGAGAGGAAGAGAGACCAGGCCTGCCAGTGAAATGATTTGCCATGGAATCAGTTTGACTTCTTTTACAGACAGTTTTAAATCTCAATCAATAGGATAGAGTCATTGACAGGATTGAACTTTGGGCCAGTCTAGTCCAACATGCAGAAAATCTCCTGCCTCATCAAAAAATCATCTCCATCAAACTGCAGAGCATACTGACAGCAAACTCACTGCATCACAGTGACTGATTTTTGAGGAAAGGCTTTTGAATTAAGAGATGCATATCAGTATGATAAACTTTTTAAAATTCATTCATGAGATGAGAGCGTCATTGGCTAAGCAAGCATTTATTGCCCATCCCTAACTGACCAGGGGGCAGTTCGGAGTCAACCACATTGCTGTGGGTCCAGAGTCACATGTAGACCAGGCCAGATAAGGATGATAATTTCTTTCCCTAAAGGACACTAGTGAGCAAGGAGGGTTTTTCCGACAATCAATTCATGATCATCATTAGAATCTTAATTCCAGATATTTAATTAATTCAAATGTCACCATCTGCCATGGCCGGGATTCAAACCCGGGGCCCAAGAACATTACCTGGGTCTATGGTTTGATAGTCCAGCGATAATACCATTAGGCCATTGCCTCCCGTTTAGGTAGGGTTGCTATATCTTCATTTAATTTTCGATTTCTGTTCAGTCCAGAGTAATCCTGAAGGGTTGGTAACTCCATTGTTTCTATATAAGCCCCTGATATCGGTTTACCATGTATATTACAGCCAGGTGAGGAGGGGGTGAATTGATTCCTATTCTAGTTCAATTCCTCCACAAGTCTAAATTTGAATCTTTAAGAAAGGCAATGACATTGCCAATCATATTTGTACCAGACTGTATTTAATTCAGTATCAGAAACAGGTCAGCCAGGCTTCTAGCAAATAATTAGTTTAATAGTTCATGACAAATAAATCTTACTGAATGAAACATACGACGATTGTTGACAAATACTTTAAACTATATGTATGTATATAATCAGTATTCTAACATCCTGAATTATCAGGAGGCAAACATGGGCAACAGACCAATTCTGGTCAAACATCACAGGGCACATGAAATAACAAATGTAATTAAGACAGATACCATGGATTGTTTAGCAATTCCCAAACATTGGTGACACTGTGGGTCATCAATCTCATCAAGACTTTACAAAGGATTCTGATACCTCTCTCTCAAAGATCTGGCTTTGAAATTTCAAGTCATGGACCGCCTTAACGACTGTTCAAGTCCCAGTCATTCATTCTCCTGAAACACTCCAGCACTTAGCCACAGGTTCATAGTTTGTCCACAGACAGCTAACTTTAGCAAGCTGAAACATACCCCTGGGTTTCTCCAAACTCTACTCAGCTGTAAGAAACATATGGTGCTCATAGGCTCTCTTCAACTCCAATCTCAGTTGCACTGAACTGTTACTGGCTCATAGGCCTATTTTAAACATCCCCAACACATCCAGGGTTTCTCCTGAGACTTTTAACTGCCTGGAGACTGTTAAAAGTGCTTATGCTGTCTAAAGCCACGTCTTTGCTTCAGCCTCCTCCTTGCTCTAACTCTGACTATTCAGTCACTCCTGAACTGTTCTGAGTGGCCGATTAAAAACTTCACAACAAGCCTCACGATTATTACTGGGCAAATTGAACATATCAACCAGTAGTGGAACACCCGGTCCCAAATGGTACAATATTCACAGATTGCTGACTTATGCAGTAAAAATAAATAGAATAGAATGACAGATTTCATCGTACATACCAGAGATCGCTTGGCATCTGGGAGAAACTGGCCAAACTCAGTCAGCAGATCCTCCTGGCCCCTGAACAAGTTGGCAACTTTCGCAAAGACTTCATCCTCAGTCATGCCACAGTAAGGTTTTCCCTTGGTATCCTTCACTATCAGCTGCTCCTTCTAACAAAGACAGAAGATACACGGTGACATAAGAATTGGTCACTACCTGCAAAGAAAGTCTTCAAAGTTACAAGAATCATTTCTCACACCGGAGTGAGATGTTCCACTCTTTCCCCAATCTAAGCTTTCTCACATTCAAATGAACATAAAAATATTCAGCCTGTAAAGCCTACCTAGCGATTCAATAATAAAGCTGATCAATTAGCCATTTCAGTGTCTTTTCCTACATTATCCTCATATTTCTTTACGTCACCGGTATTTGGAAATCGTTCAATCTCAAAATATATCTCCTTTAGCCCCTTTTGGTTTTTATTTGTTGCCACAATGGGGGTGTCACTGGCTGGGTAGAAGTTATTGCCCATCTCTTACTGCCCAGACAGTAGGTAAGAATCAACCACATTGCTGACAGTCTGAAGTCACATGTAAGGCAGAGCGCCAGATATATGTCGCAGCGTCATTACTGAGGGAGCACCATGCTTCTGAAGGGTCAGGATGGCAGACTTCCTCAAGTTAAGATTTCCCAGATGGATTATTACAACAATTAAGTGGTTGAAATTCAGCCAGCTTTCTACTCCAGGTTTTCATCGATGATCGAAGTTGATCATCTTCCATGGTGGGATCAAAACAATATTGCCAGAACATTAGCCTGGGTTTTGGATACTAGTCCTGTGACATTACCACTACATCATTACCTTCTAAGTCCAAAGCTCTTGAATTCCCTCCATAAACCTCTCAACCCTTCTCCCTGTCTCTCTCTCTCTCTGTGTCTCTCTCTCCTTTAAAACTAACGATCTTGGAGCAAGTGTTTGGGCCCCTGTCCTAATATCGCCATATGTGGCTCAGTGTTTGGCTTTGGATGATAATTGCCCACAGGAAGTTTCCCATTCAGCATTTAAAAGCTACTCTAAAAATAAAAACAGTTAAAGTGATGCAAGAATCAGAAACCTGAGAATAGTTTGTTTGATCTTTACCTGATAGGTATGCAGAATCTCCAGAAATGATTTGTAAACCTCAGGACGCTCCAGGTATCTGTTTTTGATTTTATTCACGTAACTTATAGCGTTGTCGAATTCCACAGGATGTGGCTCGTTGGAAGAAGGATCATCATGGTGATCCAAGGCCCGCGCAGTCGGTTCCTCCCGGATCACCCGGCGTTCCGCACTCTCATCCTTGTGGCCCATCAGGGGCGTCTGACATTGAGCAGGATTGGATCGGCTCACTGGAGTGACAGCAGGAGCAGCGGCACTGGGAGGAGTGGCAGAGGCGTGGTCATGGGCCGCTTCTGACAACAGCTGTTAAAGAGAGAGACAGAAACAACAGATTGAGTCTTGAGCATTAAACCATCTGACAAACTCTGGGAGCATTTATCATCACGGACTGAGGAGGAAAAGTGATGGACAGCCAGTGCTGGGGGAGAGGCGCGCTGTCGGAGGGTCAGTGCTGGGGGGCTCGCTAATGAATAATCATTGGTAAGCAGGAATTGGGACAGGAGTCGAATAAATAGTTTCCATTAATCTTCACAGCAAAAGACACACACAGCATTCCAAAATTATTAAACATTCAAAGAAACAGGAAGACAGAAAATAAATACAGTAACTATCATCACAGAAAAGTGATAGAGAAATTGGGGCTAAGGTCTGATAAGTCCCCTGGACCTGATGGGATGCATCCTGAAATATTAAAGGAAGTAACTCCAGAGATATTGGATGCACTGTTGGCAATTTTCCAGGAATCCTTAGATTCTGGAAAAGTTCCAGAGGATTGGAAAACTGCCAATGTAAACCTTTATTTAAAAAAGGAAGGAGACAAAAGACAGGCAATTATCAGCCCATTAGCTTAACGTCTGTTACAGGGAATATGTTGGAGTGTATTATAAAAGGATGTAATAGTAGAGCATTTAGAAATAAGTAATATGATCGAGCAGAGTTAGCATGGCTTCATGAATGCGAAATCAATGGATGTGGTACATTTGTATTTTCAGAAGGCATTGCAGAAAGTACCACACATTAGGTTACTTAATATGATAAGAGCCCATTGTTTCCGAGGCAGTATACTAGCACGGAAAGGCATTGGTTAACAGAAGACAGAGTGTTATTTTTAGGGTCATTTTCAGGGCGGCAACCTGTAATTAATGATGTTCTATGTAGGGATCATTGCTGGGGCCACAATTATATTCAATATACATGAATGTCTTGGATGAAGAACGTGAATGTACTATTGCCAAGTTTGCAGATGATACAAAATTAGGAAGGAAGGTAAGTGCTGAGCATGACACAGGGTCTGCAGAGGGATATAGACAGGTTAAGTGAGTGGGAACAACTTGGCAGATGGAATACAATGTGGGGAAATGTGAGGTTATACACTTTTGCAGGAAGAACAGAGGAGCTGAATATTACTTAACTAGAGGAACACAGCAGAGTGCTTAAGCAAGAAAGATTTTGGAGTCCTCATCTATGAATCACAGAAAGCTAGCATCCAGCAGGGAATAGAAAAGGCAAATGGACTGTTGGCCCTAATATCAAAGGCAATGACGTTTAAAAGTAGAGAAGTTCTTTGAAACTAAACAAGATGCTAGTCAGACCACAGTTGGAATACACTGAACAGTTTTGGGCTCCTTATCTAAGGAAAAACATAATGGCACTGGAAGCTGTGCGGAGAACGTTTACTAGGCTGATATTGGACATGGAGAGACCATCTTGTGAGGAGAGTTGGAATATAGAAGAATGAGAGGTGACATTATTGAAACATACAAAATTCACAGGGGGCTTGATAGTGGGAGAGTCTAGGACTGAAGAGCATAATCTCAAAATAAGGATCGCACATTTAAGACAAAGATGAGGTGAAATTTTTTCTCTCAGAGGTGAGCAAATTTGTGGAATTCTTTAGTGCAGAGGGTTATAGAGTCTGGGGCAATTAAGTGTTTCAAGGCTGAGACAAAGAGTTTTAATCAATAAGGGAATTAAGGATAATGGAGAAAAGGCAGGAAAGTGGAGTTAAGGATTGTCAGGTCAGCTATGATGCCACTGAATGGTGGAGCAGACTCAATGGGCTGAATGGCCTACTTCTGCTCCTCTATCTTATGACCTGGAACACACTGCCCACAAGTGTAATGAATTAATGATTTCAAAAGGAAATTGGATGGGCATTTGAAGGAAATAAACTTACAGGACCACAGCCTGTATGGACTTGATAGGCTAAATGGTTTGCTTCTGTGCAATAAATTACTCAATGAACTTCCCATCAAATGTGATTTTTAATAAGGGACAGCATTCTGTTATTTAATCAGGAGGAAGTGTAACTCACACACACACACACACACACACACACACACACACACACACACACAC